CCCCTCAAAGGAGCCTGTCAGGGGGTGCCACTGGGGATGTTTGGGGTGTGCTGGGAGGTCTCTGGGGTGCAGATAATTCCCCCCCCCCATGTCCCTGTGGCATGTGAGTGAGATGTTCTTAGGGGCAGAACTTGTGTCCCCAGGTCTGAAGGGAACAGTGGTGCCACAGCTGGTTAGTGGTCCTGAATCTGCAGCACGGGCTGGGGGGACAACTGCCAAGGCCAAGAGGAGGAAAAAGGACATGGAATCAGGTGAGTGTCCGTGGGAAGGTCTGAGGGATGGGTGGGAGTTAAAATCCCCCCCTGGAGGGCAGGTCGGAGGGGTGGGTGGGAGCTGAGAGCCCCCTGAAAAGCAGCTCCATGGCTGTGGGTGCCAGCAGAGTCCTCAGGGAGTCTTTGGAGCACCTCTGTGTGTTGGGCACACACTTGCCCTGAGCCCAAGTGGGTCTTTCCATGCTCCTTGTGGTGGAGGAAGGCCCAGAGGAGGGAGGTGACATCCCTGCCCCAGGACCCCAGGACTTGTGCAGTGACAGACCCTCCCTCAGGGCCACTCCTGCCTCAGGACACAGCTCATCCTGGCGCCAGGAGGAACAGCCTGAGGAAGACTCCTGTCACCTCCTCACAGAAGAAACAAGGTGAGTCTTGGGGACAGGGAAGGTACCTGGAGCCAGGGGGTTGTGCCACTGTCAACCCTGGGCTGTGTTTGCTTGTGCTTGTGCCTTTGCTTGGTGCTTTCCTCCCTGTTAGGTTTAGTTTTTCACCCTGGAAAATGGTACAAATCCCTCATTTTCCCCTAGGACAGATCACATCCATCCCCACCCCACAGCCAGCCAGGGCTGCTGTGTCTCCCAGTGGAGGGTGTGGGTGCTCTGGGGGGTGAGATTCAGGACAAGCCACATTGCAGTGTCCCTTCCCTCCTCCCTGCAGGCTGTAACCAGGTGCTGGACGAGTCCCAGGTGTCCCTCTCCTTCCAGGACTGGCTGGCCAGTGTCACCGAGCGCATCCACCAAACCATGCACTACCAGTTTGAGGGTGAGACTGGGGTGAGGCCTGCAGGGAGTTTGTTTTGCCCTGGGAATTTTGCTTGGCTTCAGTTCAGCTCAGATCAAGGGGAGGGAGGGGATTCTGTCCTGCCCTGCTCAGGTGAGGTCCCACCTCTGCAGCTTCCAGCTCTGGGGTCTCCCCAACATAGGGAGGATGTGGAGCTGATGGAACAAGTTCAGAGGAGGCCACGGAGATGCTCCAAAGGTGGAGCAGCTCTGCTGTGGAGCTGGGAGAGCTGGGAGTGTTCAAGAGAGCTGGAGAGGGACTTGGGGCAAGGGGTGGAGGGACAGGACAAGGAGGAATGGCTATCAGGTATCTTAAGGATGAGTGTCAAGAGGATAAGGGATGGTTATCAGTGATGCTCAGATAAGGGACAACAGGCACAACTGAAATGTGCGAGTTCCACCAGAATATGAGGAAAATAGGAGGGAAAACCTTCCTTTGTGGGTGACAGAGCCTTGGAACAGCTCCTTCCCCTGAGCCCTGTGCTCCCTGTGCCCCCTCCAGGCCGTCCCGAGCCGCTGGTGTTCCACATCCCTCAGACCTTCTTCGAGGCGCTGCAGCAGCGAATCTCCAGTGGGAGCAGCAAGAAGAGGCTCCCCAACTCCACCACGGGTAAAACGGGGGAAGGGGGAAAGGGAGGGGAGGAAAAAAGGGGGAAAGAGGGAGGGAAAAAGGGAGAAATAAAGGGGGAGAAAGCAGGGGGAAAGGGAGAGGGAAAAAGGGAAAAGGGGTAAAATAGGGGGGAAAGCAGGAGGGAAAAGGGGAAAAATAAAGAGGGGGAAAGCAGGGGGAAAGGGAGAGGGAAAACAGGAGAGAAAGGGAAAAATAAACGGAGGAAAGCAGGAGGGAAAAGGGGAAGCAGAGGGAAAGGGAGAGGGAAAAGGGAAAGAAAGGAGAGGGCTGAAGAGGGATGGAAGAAGGGGAAAGGGAGAAGGAGGGATTGGGAAAAGGGAGAAAGGGATGGGGAAAAGGGGGAAATGGGGAGAAAGGGATGGAAAAAGGGAGGGGAAATGAGAAAGAGGGATGGAAAAGGGAGGGGAAATGGGGATAAAGAGGGATGGAAAAAGGGAAAATGGGGAGAAAGAGGGATGGAAAAGGGAAAATGGGGAGAAAGACGGATGGGTAAAAGGGGGGAAAAGGGGAGAAAGAGGGATGGGAAAAAGGAGGGGAAAATGAGGAGAAAGAGGAAAAAGCCCCTCAAGTTCTACCCCCCTCCCTGTCCACAGCCTTTGTCCGCAGGGACGCGCTGCCCCTGGGCACCTTCTCCAAGTACACGTGGCACATCACCAACGTCCTGCAGGTGAAGCAGATCTTCGACACGCCCGAGGTAAGGG